AATATCTAAATGCAAAACCTCAAACTATAAGCTACTTGTAGAAAACACAAGGGAAACACTTGAAAACATTGGAGTATGCACACTTTTCTCAAATAAGACATCTAAAGTATAGGCAACAATTCCAAAGATAGGTGAAAGGGATTACATCAAGATATAAAGATCTTCACAGCCAAGAAAATAGAGTGATAAGACAACTCACAGACTGGGAGAAAATATTTGCAAACTATACTTTAGATAAGGGATTGATAACCGGAATACATGAGGATTTCAAGCAGCTCTCTTGCAGAAAAACTAATAATTCAATTTAAAAATGGGCAAACAGGACCAGTAGGTGGCGCGAAGTTTGAGGGTCTGGATTCCACATGACCAGCTGTATGGTTTGAGTTCCAGTCTCAGTGGCTTGAAAATCATGGCAAGCATGTGTACATGCTTACCCAAAATTCCAAGAGGAGACTAGAGGAGGACTGTGGTGTGGCCATCCCCATTGGGGTGGGGTAGGGGGTTGATTTCTCACTTTCCCTCTCTCTGTCTCTCTCTTTCTGGTGAGGGCATGCACTCTATAGCAAAAAAAAGGGGGGGGGAGGGGCGAGGGCATGCACTCTATAGCAAAAAAAAAAAAGGGCGGGGGGGAGTGAGCTAAAAGCTGAATGGACAACTCAGAGGAAGATATATACAAATGGACAAATCGCATATGAAAAAAATGTTCAATATCTCTTAAGGGCAAATCAAAACCACAATGAAGTATCACATAAACCCAGTCAGAATGGCTATGATCAGAAAAACAAAGTACTGACAAGGCTTGGTGAAAAGGGAACCCTCCTGCACTGTTGGCGGAAACATAAATTAGTACAACCACTGTGAAAACAATACGGAGGTTCCTTAAAAATTTACAAATAGGGACCAGCAGGTGGCGTAATGACTACGTCGCTGGACTCCCATGTAGTCGACCAGGATTTGAGTCTCGGACCCAGTAGCTTAAACTCAGGCCAGGCGTGTGTGCATGTGTGCCCAAGATCTCGAGAGGTGAATGGAGTAGAAAGGATTGCGCATGGCCATATCCCTTGGGGGGTGATCTCTCGCTTTCTGTCTCTCTGTCTCTCTCTGTCCTTCTGGAGAGTGAACACATGCTATAGTTAAAAAAAAAAAAAAAAAAAAACTCTCAAAAAAATTTTACAAATAAAGCTGTAATATAATCCAGTAATTCTTTTTTCTTTTTTTTTTGGAGAGATTTTTGCTATAGGGCATGTGCACTCACCAGAAAGACAGAGAGCTACAGAGAGACAGAAATCAAGAAATCCCTCTACCACCACCACTCCCCACCCCACCCAGGGAGGATAGCCATGCCTCAATCCCTTCTCATCCATTTTCCTCTTGGGATCTTGGGCACGCAAGCACATGCACCTGGCATGGGTTTAAGCCACTGGGTCTGGGACTTGAACCATGGTCAGCTACGTGTGAGTCCAGCGACATAGCCATTGCTCTAACTGCTGGTCCCATAATCCAGTAATTCTACTCTTTAGTGTTACTCAGAAGACAGGAAAGTACTCAGTCAGAAAGATTTTCACATGTTCATATTTATTGTAGCATTATTCACAATAGCAAAGAAATGAATTAACCCAAATGTCCAACACTTAATGACCAGATTTAACAAATGTGGCACATATACACTATGGAATACTACTCAGTCATAAAGAACAGTGAGACTCTGTCATTTGATACAAAATAGATGAATGTAGAATGAAGGCCAAGTGAATAAGCCAGACTAAAAGATAAACACTGTATGCCTCACTCAATATATACCAAATATACTCTCTGGCAGAAATTGAAAGATTTGAAGATATAAAAATAGAGAAGAAAAATGTAGATATCAGAAGGGTATGGGTGGGAGGGCTCAGGAAAAAAGCACTTAACAGATACAAGAATTTAAGGTTCTTTATTGAGCATGATGTGTATGGTATTATCCTTGATATAATTACCACACACTCACTGCATGCATGCTATGAAAAACTGTATTGTAGGCCCCAGCAGATGTGTGGTGGTTAAAATGTTGAACTTCCCATGGCTGACTACAGTTCAAGTCCTGGACCTGGTGGCTTGCTACCTCACTTTCCTTCTCTCTGTGTCTCTCTTTGTTTCTTTCTGGTGAGCACATGTGCCCTATAACAAACTTAAAAATAACATGATAATAATTAAAAATAAGTATTTTTAGAGAGATTTGGGGTATAGGGCTCATGGGCTCACCAGAGAGACAGAGAGAGAGAGACAGAGAAACAGAAAGCAAGAAATCACCCCCAGGAGGGATGGCCACACTACAATCCCTTCTCCTCCATCCTCTTCTCGGGATTTTGGGGATGCATGCACATGCATCTGGTATGAGTTTTAACCCACCAAGTCCAGGACTTGAACCACAATTGACTATATGGGAGTCCAGCAACATAACCAATTACTCCATCTGTTGGTCCCAAAATAATTTTTTTTAAAAAACTGTATTATATGCCACAAAGGAATACAATACTTAATTGTAAATAAAAAAGTATAAAAATAAAACAAAAAAGATAATTCCTATAAAAATACACATCATTTTTACAGAAATAAAAAAAAATCTTAAAAATTCATATGGAACCACAAAAAGCCCTGAATAGCCAAAGCAATCTTGAGCGTTAAGGAATAAAGCCTTTGGGATCACATCACCTGACTAAAATACACCATCAAGCTGTGTAGTAACCAAAACTGCATAGTATTGGCATCAACCAATGGAACATAATAGAGAACTCAGGAATTAGTTCATGCATTTATAGCCAACTAATTTTTTTAGAGTTTTTTTTGCTATAGGGCACTCATCAGAGAGACAGAGAAACAGAAAACAGCAATCACCTCCCAGGGAGGGTGGCCACACTGCAATCCTTTCTCCTCCATTCTCCTCTCAGAATTTTGGGCATGCACACACACACACACATACCCAGTGTGAGTTTCAAGTCACCAGGTCCAGGATTCAAACCATGATCAACTACATGGGAGTCCAGTGATGTAACCATTATACCATCTGCTGGTCCCAATGCCCAACTAATTTTTTTTTTTTGAGAGGTTTTTGCTATAGGGCGTGTGCGCTCGCCAGACAGACAGAGAGAGACATAGAGACAGAAAGCGAGAAATCACCCCCCAAGGGGGGATGGCCACGCCGCAATCCCTTCTCCTCCATTCTCCTCTCGGGATCTTGGGCACGCACACACATGCGCCCGGCGTGAGTTTAAGCCACTGGATCCGGGACTCGAACCGCGGTCGACTACGTGGGAGTCCAGCGACATAGCCATTTTTTTAACTGCTGGTCAAGCCCAACTAATTTTTGACAAAGATGCTAAGAATACACATGAGGAAAGGACAGTCTCTTCAATAGTGTTAGGAAAATGATACCCACATGCAGAATAAAATTGGACCCTTATCTCATACCACATATAACTAGCAGTTCAAAATGAATTAAAGACTTAATGTTAGACCCAAAACTGAAAGGACTAGAAGAAAACATAGAGCAAAAGCTTCATGAAATTAGTCTGGGCAACAAAGAGAAAAATAGACAAATGGGAATATATCAAACTAAAACACTTTTGCATAGCAAAGGAAACGATCAGCAGAATGAAAAGACAGCCTCTACAGATTGGGAGAAAATATTTATAGATTTTACATTTGATAAGAGGTTCTTATCTAAAATATATAAGGAACTCAAAAAACTCAATAACAAGAAATAACTTGATTTTAAAATGGGTATAGCACTCAAATTTATATTTCTCAAAAAAAGCCATACAAATGGCCAACAGCTATATGAAAAAATACTCAACACATAATAACTGGGAAAATGCAAATAAAATCATGAGATATCTATCACCTGACATCTGCTAAAATGGCTATTATCAAAAAGGCAAAAAATATAACAACTGCTTATGAAGAGGGAGAGGAAAGGGAACTCTTGCATACTGTTCATGAAAATGTAAATCAGTGCAGCTCTTATGGAAAACAGTATTAAGGTTTCTCAAAAAATTAAAAAAAAAAAAAAACTACCATATAACCAGCAATCTCTTTTCTGGGAAATAGCCAATGGAAATAAAACTAACATCATAGAGATAGCTGGGTCCCATGTTCATTACGGCATTATTCACAAAGCCAAGATATGGAAACAACCAAAGTAACCATCAAGGGAGTATTGGATAAAGAAAATGCAGGATATATATATCAATGGAACACTATTCAGTCATAAAAACAGATAAAATCCTGTCATTTGTGACAACATGGATGAACCTGAAGGACATTAACAAAAAGACAAATACATGATCTCACTCACATGTGGAATCCAAACCAGTTGATGGGGCTGGCATTCTTGGGGAGGTGGGAAATGTTGGTCAAAGGATACACAATTTTACTTAGATAAGTTCAGGGGAACTATTGTAGAACAATCATGACTGTAATGAATAATATCTTCTTGAAAAATGCTAAGAGAGTAGTGAGTTTCTCACCATAAAAATAACCATGTGAAGTAATGCATATGTTAATTAGGTAAATGTAATCATTCCACTTTGTATGTATATGTGTGTGTGTGTGTGTGTGTGTGTGTGTATACGCCACAAAATGTCATGTTTTACCCAATAAATACACACAATTTTGATATTTTTTATTTATTTTTATTTTTATTTATTCATTTATTTTAATTTGACCAGAGAAAGAGACACAAAGAGAGAGAGGGGGGAGGGAGGAGTGAGAAAGGAAGCCACCAGGTCCAGGACTCAGCCATGGGGGAGTGTCCAGCACCTTAACCACCATGCCACCTGCTGGTCCCCAAAACACACAATTTTATCTGTTAATCTAAAAAAAGGGACTGAGAACATTAATCAATTTTACAATCTCAATATATATGTTATTGAGGTTATGCATGATAATTCTATCTTTCTAACTTCACAATAGAATATTAGTTATACTTTATACAGATAATGAACTTTTTTTTTAATTCACAGATGCATCTTTCTCTTGGATCCTCATTTCTTCAAGTAACACAGAACTTTTACCTGGGACCACTTTCCATTATCCTTAAATAGAATTTCCTTAAATAAGAATTTCATTTTATGCAAGCTAATTGTCTATTAAATTTCTTTTTGGGGGCCTAAAGTAATTTTATTTCATACTCTTTGTTCAATGACAATTTTGCTACATAAATTTCAACTAGTAGTTACTTCAAGCAGTTTGAATTGATCCTTTCCTCGGTGTCCCTGAATCACAATTATATATCAGGAATGAGTGTTGACAAATTATGTGTCATTTTGTTCATGGTTTTCAGATCTTAGGTTGGGATAGGAATAGAAATTCTACCATTGGGATGAAGGCTATAAGTAGATGCGGTTTGGAATTGTCATATAAAAGAGAAGATGAGAATGACCGAGCTATGGCAGTGCGTTCTGGACACCACTGCTGAGCAGGCTGCAGCCACATGGGAGGCCCAGGTTTGATTCCCACCCTTCCTTAAAAAGCCAGACATGACAGCACAAGCCTGAGATCCCAGTTACTAAAGAATTTGAGACAGAAGAATTGCAACACAGCAAGACCTTGTCTTTAAAACACACACACACACATACACACACACACACACACACACACACAGAAGTGAGAGTACAAAGGATTTCCAAAAATTCATGGAAAAAATTTGCACAGGTTTTTCCATACTACACATGTTCCATGAAGTTGTTGAAGACCCCTCTTATTCGGTGTATAGTACAAACCATATCATGGGTAGGTGACCAGACTGATGGGTTCTGCGAGAAACTAAGTGCTCATCCATACCTTTTTCTCTTCCTAGACACCGGCTTCCCTTATGCTAATTCGGTGCTCACCTTAGGACTGAAGTTTCAAGTAATGAGCTAAGCAAGTCTTGATGATGATGATGGTACCTGGCAACTCTGAGTCACTGAATATCAATCTGTGCTATCTTGTGGCCAAATATTTGTGGTACCAAATATTGGTACCTGGTGACTCTGAGTCACTGAACATCGGTCTGTGCTGTCTTGTGGCCAAATGTCTGTGGCCTTCAGAAAGACAGAAGGAGGTGAAGTTCCTGAGAATTAAAGGACAGCAGTGACTTCTCCACTTCTGACACTTGAAATCACACCAACTCTACTCTCTACTTTGGTCTGAAAGCAATTATTCATGATATCCTCGAGTGTTTAAGTATGTGGCCTATAAAAATTCATATTCTAGACAACAGGCCTACTTATAGTTTATGAAACCTTCCTGCATGATCTATTTTTAAAAAATAAAATTTTAGGGCCAGCCCATGGCCTGATGGTTAAAGCAACTGGATCCCATGTGGTCAGCTACACAATTTGAGTCCCAGACTTGGCAGCCTGAAAAACACACCAGATGTGTGTGCATGTGTGCCCAAAATCCAAAAGGAGAGAGAGATGGAGAAGGGATTGCAATGTGACCATTCCCCATGGGGGAGGAAGGGGTGCTTTCTCGCTTTCCCTGTCTCTCTCTAGTGAGCACACATACCCTCTGGCAAAATTTAAAAAGTAAAAATTTAAAGAAGAGCCAAATGATACAAAGGTGTGCTTTTATGTGAAAATGTGAGTGATTACCTCTGAGGTTACTTGCCAAATTACAGTGATTGTGTTTTATATTTGACAAATATCCCCAATGACTTCGCAAAAGAGACACCTCCGACTTGCCTGGCTTTTTTCTTTTTGGAGAGGTTTTTGCTACAGGGCGCGTGCGCTCGCCAGACAGACAGTGAGACAGAGAGACAGAAAGCGAGAAATCACCCCCCAGGGGGGATGGCCATGCCAAAATCCCTTCTCCTCCATTCTCCTCTCGGGATCTTGGGCACGCATGCACACACGCCTGGCATGAGTTTTAAGCCACTGGGACTGGGACGTGAACCGGGGTCGACTACGTGGGAGTCCAGCGACATAGCCATTACGCTAACTGCTGGTCCCCAACTTGCCTGTTCACAGTGGTGTGTGTGAAAACTTGATGATGATAGAAATAATTACTGTCCATGTAATGAGGAATAACTGTGTGCCAGGCCCTGTGCGAAGCACTTTGTATACTACTTTCCATGAGGTATGTAGTGTTCATTTACCTATTTTATTCACTGGGTTTTAATGAGTGTGCCCTTCCCAAACTGGGATCAACATTAAAATTCCTTTGAGGGGGGCTGGCAGATGGCATGGTGGTTAAGGCATTTGATTCCCACATGGTCAACTGCAGTTTGCCAAACTGGGATCAACATTAAAATTCCTTTGAGGGGGGCTGGCAGATGGCATGGTGGTTAAGGCATTTGATTCCCACATGGTCGACTGCAGTTTGAGTCCCAGACCTGGAGGCTTGCTTTCTCACTTTCTCTCTCTGGTCAAATATTAAAAATAATAATAAATACATAAAATTAAGATAATTCTTTTTTTTTTAATTCCTTTCATGACTGGCAGAAGTACAGATTACTAGGCCCCACCCCCAATGTCTCTGATTTTACTATGTGTGGGTGGAGCCAGATAACTTGCATTTTTAACAAGTTCCCAGAAGATGCTAATAATAAATGTTAGAATTAGAGCAATATTTAGTGACCACACTTTAAAACTCCAAATGTGTGGCATTTCTTTTCATTTTTAATTTTGAATCTAGGTTCTTCCATGTCTGAGAGGTGAAGTTTCACTTAGGGCCTCCGAGGCAGATAGTCAAGGAATAGGTCCCCTATTAAAATTTTCTGAGAGTGGGATATTGACCAAGAAGCCTGTATGTGGCTCCTTTGTAAGGAATAAAAGTCCTGCCCCATCAGCAAAACCTTGGAGCAATATTTCCCAGGGCCCCCTTGGGATGCTACTTGGCCATTGTCATGGAGAAGAGATATAGGACAGAAATCATATTACACAGGAGGAGGGCATTTCTGTACCCCACATAGGTGGTGGTAAGGCTTTGGGGACACTGATGTGGATGCACATTTGGGTAGTCATGGGTCACTCCACAAGTACCAAATCAACTCCCATGTGATTCTTCAATACTGTCTTGGGGACCAGCAGTTAGTATAATGGCTATGTCGCTGGACTCCCATGTAGTCGACTGCGGTTCGCATCCCGAACCCGGTGGCTTAAACGGGCACGTGTGTGTGTGTGCCCAAGATCCCAAGAGGAGAATGGAGGAGAAAGGATTGTGATATGGCCATCCCCCCAGGGGGTGATTTCTCGCTTTCTGTCTCTCCATCTGTCTCTGTCTTTCTGGCGAGCACATGCACCCTATAGCAAAAACTTCTCCAAGAAAAAAAGAAGAAGAAAAATACTGTCTTGGAAAAAATTATTCATGATACTTGTTAAAGAGGAGTAAGGCAGACTTTATTCAGGGGAACTGTTGAGAGGTGTAGAGATCATGCCAATGGGGTTTCTGCAGTGGAAAGAGAGTGTATTCACCTTGAAATATAACTAAGCAAGGACAAGTGGGGATATATACCCAAGGATTGGGGTACAGAATAATGAATGGAAAACTAGTAAGAGGAAATACTGTAAGTATAGGGGGATTCTAGTAAATGGACTTAGCAGGATTCTTGCTAAAATTGGACAATGCAGAGACAGCATGGAAGTCTAAGTATCAGGGTCTCACTGAGAAGCATTCAAAGGAGCCTAACCAGAGTTTGGTCCAGGGGAGACTCTTTGGCAGGACTGAACAGAGAAGGACAGCGCTGAGGATCATACACACCTATGCACCTTTGTATCAGCTGTGAGCCCTAAAATGGGAATTCTTCCAGGATCTCTGAAGCCTCTGCACCCAGCCTTCATCTTGTGGTACACTGGGCCTTTTGTATTCAGGGCTAGCTCACAGCTCTAATACTGCTGGAATCAGGCCTAGAGTGCCAAGGTCACACGCCTGCCCAGTGTAGGCCAAGGTGGGGAGCCAGCGGAACCCCTGAGACACACTTCTTTCTCCCACCCCCTCGTGACCTGCCTCCACCCACATTGTTCGCAGTCCATTATGGAGCTCTTGGATCCAGTTGCAGGTGAGTGGGAGGGTTGCAGGCCCTCGGCTACTTGGCTCCCCACTCTCAACTTCTTGCTGCCAAGATAGAAAAGATAATGTTCTCTTGGGACTCTTTCCCCTTTCCATCTTCACTGGGAACCATCGGAGTTACCAGAGGGCAGACTTACAGTGGCTGAATGAGGAGCTAGGCCTCTATTCTGAATGTACTGGAAGCCCTGCAAGTTTGGAACAGAGCAGGAGGTGATCTTATTCAGATCTTTATAGACTCCCTCTGACTATAGAGAGAAAAACAGACTGTGGAATTATACAGAGGCAGGGAGATCAGAGAATATGCTACTACAATAGCCCAAGTAGGTCATGCTGGTGGCTGGACCAGAACGACGTAGATTCAGTGATTGAATTCTGAATCCATTTTTTTTAAACTCAAGTTGACTGATTTCCCAATATGGAGAATGAATCGCTTCTCGGCCTTTTAGCTAAGATCAAGTGTAGTATCCAATATGGAGAGTGATAAGGGAAGAAGGCTAGACGACCTCAAGATTCTGGCTTAGAGACTGGAAGGATAGTGGTAAGAGAGATTTCCCATGGAAATATTAGCAGTTAGGTTTTTGACATGCTGAGTCTGATATTCCAGAGACCCCTGATTGGAGGTTATAAACAGGCAACTGGACACAGAGTTATGGGGTGTTGGGGAGGCATTCAGGTTACAATCATACAAAATATGACATTTAGTGTGTGGATGACTGTGAGGTTGTGGAGATTTAGGAGGGGGAAATCTTCTGGCCATGGTGGTAATTATGATGGAAAGAAGGCAAAGGGAAGGGCCTGAGGACAGGTTATCTTTCGGGGGGCAAATATTGGGGCGGTGAGCATCACTAGCACAGGAGAGGGGAAATAATCATGGATATGAGGAATCATGTGGGGAAGATCTGGCAGGTGACCAAGTTTCCCAAGAGAGAGTCGATTTGGGATGGATGAGGAGATTCAGCAGAAGTGGAGGTAAAATTACATTAAGATCTTGAATAAAGCACATTCGCTTCTCTGTGGACACACCAGGCTATAGTGGTGACCTTCAGTGATGAAGGGACAAAATGAGTGACACAAAGAGAAAGAAGATGTAGAGCATTAGACATGCGCCTGG